GATCAGAGGAAACAGAGCCTGGAACTGTCCAGCGTGTAATAACTGTGCCTTCTGGAACCTGGAGAACTTCAGATCTGCAGCAGTCAAAATGAACCCATCATATCCTTTGGATGAGACACACTGAAGGGTCACATTCCCACCTGAGTTCACCACAGGGCAGGGCACAGCTGACAGAGTAGGTTTGCCATGGTAAACACCTAGGAGAGGAGCAGGCAGTCTGTTACACAGCCAACACTGACTCCAGCAGAGAGGTTATGGAAGCACACCTGTGGGAGACTATTTCCTGTGGACAGAGGCAAAGATCGTGACACTTAGTGTCCTCTCACCTGTCACCACCAGCTCTAAGGGGTCACTGCGCTGTGACCATCCCACAGAGGTGTAGGTGTAACAGTGATACCGGCCTGCCTGTACTTGTGTCTCAGAAGGAATAGACAGAAACAAAGACAAGACTCCACACAAATCTAGCTGGTGAACCAATGAGATATGTTAGGGTTCCTAAGAATGATATGTTCAATCTTTTCTGGTTTTGGTGTTTTGCTTTGCTTTGGGGTTTTTAGTTGGTTTGGTTTAATGCCTATTTCATACAGGGTCTCACTATATACCTCTGGGTGTCCTGGAATTCACTTTGTACACCAGAAGGTATCTACCAACCAGTCCCACCTTCCAACTGTTGAGAACAGTTGGTCCTCTATGACACACAATATTGGAAATGTATCAGTGGTTATATCCCTGGAAAAAAACCTTGGCACTGTAGCATTTACTTGTCTATAGTTCTGATGGGTGAGGAGTGGCAACCATAGGGCAACTTGGGTCCTCAAAATCCAGCCTGAGTTAAACATCCACAGAGATGCCATGCTGCTCAGGTGGGCTAATGACAACTACTTGGCTGTCTAGGTCCTAAGAGTCCAGCCTGCCTCAAGCATCCATAGGCTGTATGATGTCAAGCAGCTCAGGTAGGTGAAAGAAACCCACAGGGCAGCCTGGGACTTCATGGTCCAGTCTGCCTTAAGCACCTAATATTCTCCCAGGATTGTGTGAGTCAGGAGGTCCAAAGAACCCCACAGTGCATCCTGGGTCGTCATGGAGCTGTATGATTATGAATAAGTGTATGGTGGTAAAATGTGAGAGGAAGAAAGGAGGAGAGATTCATGTGATGTGGTGAGAGGCTGTTCTGAGGAAGTGAGAGCAGGGATGGATGGGCAGATGCTTCTACCAGGGCTATGCTGATCTGGATAACCTGTGCTGCCACTCAGGCCAGGATGATATACAATCCTGGAACCACGACTGGGTCTATGGTCCTATCACAGCTGGGGTCTGTGTTGTCTATGACCCACAGAGCCAGCAAAGGCCACACAAATGCCCAGGGACTAGGCGACCTCTTGTGGCCATTTTGGTGTTCAAGGTCATGCTGTCACTGGGGCCATGTGTGATGTGCAACAGGCCTGCTGATGAGAACCATGTCTGGGTGTGTAGCCTTACCATAGCTAGGGTCTGTGTTGATGTCCATGGCTCCTGATACCATTCAAGGCAATACTGATGTTAGGGGTCTGGGCTGCCACATGGGGTGATGTTGGTGTCTGAGGGGCACATTTCCACAGGGGCAAAATTGATCTGAGTAGCCTGTGCTACCACCTAGGGCCATGGTGACATCTGAGCCTAGGCTGCTGCTAAAGACCATGTCTCTCTCTGTGGGTCCTATCACAGATTAGGTCTGTGTTGTCCATGGCCCATGGTGCCACCAAAGGCCAAAAGGATGCCCAGGGTCTAGACCACGTCCTATGACCATGTTGGTGTCAAAGGGACTTGTTTCTGATTGGGCCAAGGTGTCACATGGGCCAGGGCTGTTGCTGAGGACCATGTCTGGGTCTTTGGTCCTACTGCAGCCAAAGTCTGTGTTGATATCTGTGGCTGCTGACACCATCAATAGCAATGCTGATGCCAGAGGTCAGGGCCACAAGCAGTGGCCATGATTGATTCCTAGGGCCTTGCTGCCATCAATCATGCCAGTGCAAGTGGAGTGCACAGCCACATGGGAGCATGACTTGGCTGCTGCTGTGGATTAGGTGTGAGTCTGGGACCCAACAGCAGCCAGAATCTACAGTGCTGTGGGCAGCATGTGCTGCCACATTGTGTGATAGGAACCATGTGTTTTGAAATCCAATGCCATGCTGAGCTAGCTCTGTCCCTCCATGACCCTGCCTATTATTGGACACTGGAGATCTGGCACTGTCTCCCCATGGGAGAACTGACTCTAGCGTTCAGGAGAAATTACTCCAACACTCACCACAGGCATGGCAGATCTGGCCCTAGTTGTATTGACCAAGGAGTGCTGGGTCTGCCCCTTGCCTGAGTGTGTGGCCCCAATAACCCAAATCAACAAGATCATCTACCACTAAGACCCACATTCTGGGCCCACCCTACCAGCTGTCCAATACATGACTTTCTGAAGTGCATGAAGGGCCTGGACCTGCCTAATGATCACCATAGGATCTACATAACTCAGGACACAAACAGGCTTTCCAAGAGAAGCTTCTATGATGGCATCGTGAAGGTGGACCAGAAACCAGAGGATGAAACCAGACTCATTGCAATGAAGATATTTTGGGTGGGGCTGATTATACAAAAGGGGTGTACTACATGACACACCACAGCTCCTGATCCCACAAGAATAAATGAAGAGGTGTTGGAAAGATGGAGGAGTGAGGTTAGTGTTATGTTTGTTTTTAATTTATTTGGAAGACCCTACTGCATGAGTCAAGGGTGGATATGGAGGGACTGGGAGATGAGCAGAATTGGGGTGCATGATGAGAATCTTGCAAAGAATCGAAAAAGAATTATGTTTTAAGATGAATAAGTAAATTAGCAAAAACCTCAAAAAGTGTTTGTGATGTATACTGACTGGATTGAGAGTGCAATGTTTTGGGGGCATCATTGTATTTTGTCCTTCTTTTAATTCTGTAATTTAAATGAACTCACAAATTTCTGTTGTTGTTGTTGTGTTGGGTTGAGGCAAATTCCTTCTTCATAATAAGAACAACCTCCAAAAAATGTGCACATGAAGCACAACGGAGATTATAGTGGTTTATAATAAAGGAAAATATCACATGGGACTGAGGAAAATTAGAATATATAAAGAGGTAAGGACCCCAAATCACTGGTGGGACGTTATGTTCCCCACATTATAGAATGAAAAGAAAGGAAGGAAAAATCTTCAAATCTACAGCAGGTAGAATGGAGGACCTTTAATGTGGTGGTAGAGGAGACAGCTGCCACAATATTCAGGTCTTTTTCTGCAACCAAAATCAATGTATTTTCTGGATCATTTCTCACAACTGATGCCCAATATTAAACATGGCATCTTTGGGTAAATAACACCTAATATTCTCAAATTTATTTCCCAGATTTGGTCAAGAGGAAAGGACTATGGCTGTCTCCCTTCTTCACATCTAGGATGTATTCAAGGACCTTCTATGGCTGTGGCAAGCCTCAAACAGCACAATCCCAAGAACTATGAGAATCAAGTCAGCTATGACCATCCTGATGAGGTTCTCCACTGTGTGATCCTGGGGCTGTGAGGCTGGAGATTGTGAACAGAGAGGTCAGGACCAACCAAAGCCACCATAAGATGACTGAATGTTCACTCTGACAGCTCCCTCCCCTGTCTAGTTCCATGCCCTAAGCAGAATTCTGGTTCCATACCATAAGCAGAATTTTCCTTCCTCATCTGACATGGCTTCTGAAATATTTTGTGGTTGGCTGATGGTCTCAGGCATCCCTGAGAAAAAAAGATTTGCTGGGTATGTGCAGTGCTCAAGAGAAGTGATTCTTTTTGTCAAGTTTCATCTTTTATATTCTACAAATTCACATTATTCTAATCACATAACATCATGAAAATGTGGAAAGAACTCTTTCTCTGCAGTAGCAGCGTCCTCCTCTTCTTTGACTTGATTTCTTCAGCCTGACTACACTCTGAGTTCAGAACTGCTGGTCAAGGCTCTTCTTTGAAAGAGAGTTTATCTGATTACAGAGAGCTCAGATGGGAAAATGTCATTTCCGCCTTCACAGTAGAGGAGCCTTACTGTGCTCCCAGTCCAGTCTGTAGTATAGAAGCCAGGAAGATAATACCTCCAGGAAAATAACCTGCACTGAATCAAGAGCTGAGAACCCAAGATCTAGCCACATAGTCTTATTCTCAGGGTCCCCTGAATATCAGGTGGTCAAAATAGTGACAATCTGGGCTTCTCTTCCTGCACCACCCCACAAGGTTTCTGTGATGCTTTTGTCCTAAATCATTAAAGAATAGGCCAGTATTAAGCAAGTAAATATTTATTTTTTAATTAAATACTTGTATCTATATTGTAGAGGCTATACGGTCTCTAGAAGAGAAACTATTACTGCAATGTTCCTAACCAAATATAATTTCTAACTTCATTC